GGTATAGGTTACAAACGAGTATTGCAGAAAATAATATATTGATTGAATAAGTATTTACAGGTTTTTTCCCTTCGCAACAGACATGTCAAGTACGGCATTCCAAGTCCATCGTAGCATATTTTTTTCACATGGAGTAAAAGTCCCCTCGATGACGCCCGCCACTGTGAAAGGGGCATCGCCGGTGGAAACGTACACTGGGCGATTGCAAACTCAACACTGGTCGCTTTGAAAGGTCGCCGTTGTACCTTTGTCTGAACCAGATAGAGTCTCCTCACAACCTCCAGGAAAGTTGGAATCCTTGAGTCCACCACAACGTGCTACCAACGGTGGTGTTGGAGGCAACAGTGCAAGGATTGCCGTGATATCCTGCAATAAAGGTTCTTCCTAACGTAGCTTCGCGACCAATGTTTTCATCGGATATTCTTTGTACGACAATCCCTACAGCCGGCTAAGTTGACAATTTCAGTCATGTTCGTTCTTGACTTCGTTAGTGGTGCATACTCTTTGTTACTCTCCGTACAACGCCATGGCCATAAAGTAATCGTTGATAACAGTCAAGTCGAGAGCGTTCCGGGGGAATTTTTGGGTCGTGTACTCACCCCGCTCATATGCCCACTTGTTAAAGTGGCCAATGTACTGGTCACCTAGGGGGAGTACCGCTCTGTATCAAACCATTATGTTGACCACTTGCCCTTCAATACGGAACCACACAACGCACAGTACCTGGCCAGCAGTGGCTGTGGTACACGGCGGCAGTCCTTTCGTGGCCATTGCAGTTGATGTCGATGCTCTCCATGTTCAACCACACGTCTTGTTTCGGAATGAAATGGTTCACGACGACCTCGCCCGCGTACATGGACGCGACCCCGACATGCCACCTCGGAAACCCTTGATCGACTCCGTACTTAGGGCTTTCCAAGATGAACTTGGCCACGTCCAGCATCTTGGGCACCATCTCGAGAACGACCTACTCGACTCCCAGTCCAACTGACGACGCCTGGCGGTACGTACCGATGCATTTCCAAACCACGTCGACCCGACATTGTACACACTCTGGTGCGTCATGCCCACGTCTGCCGCCAGCTCCTTGATGCGACCTTTCGTGTACTCTTCGTCCATGTACCCGCCTCGCCCGACGACAAATTGCCGAGGGCGGAACGTCAGGAACGCCGGGGTTACGACCACATCCGTGTCCGTGCGCAGGAGGCGGCTGTACGACGCCAGGAGCCGTTGAAACCTTGGCTCAGCGAGGAACGACAGGCTAAACATAAACGAGTACCGGTGCCAGTAGTCGTCGGCCGTCGGCGTTTGCTCGACAACAAAGCACTGGTCTTGGTCCGACTGTGGCGGCACGTGTGTGATATCGGTGAGCCGTGCGCACGATGCCGGCATTCGATCCATGACGTCTCGATGGGCAAAGAAGATCAAATC